GTATAAACTAACTTAATTCAAAAACTATAACCTGGTAATACGCTTTTGATCATATAAGTCAATATATTTTTCAATATTATACATTTTTTCTGGTACCATGTTGTTGAAGGTCTTATTTCAGTATTTTGCATCAAAAATATAAATATATATTTGTAATTGTGCCGTAGCGTTCATAAACGTAAGATTCGTAATATTTTTATAGTGGAAACAACATTTTTCGTGTTGTCTTGTATACGAAAATTGTTAGGCTAAGTCCAACAACACGGTTATATCAATTTTTATGCACATACTCGTACACGTGAACGTTTCTAATGGAAACCTGCCTTAAATTTTAAACCTTTTTTCAACTCGAGTGTAATTCGACCATTTTTTTTTTTAGATAATAAATAGAATTTGACCATCCGTCTACCCATCTACCCATTCGTCTAACTATCCCGTTTATTATATGTACTTACTCGTACTCGTATAATATGAACTCGAGGAAGATAATTATTCGAACAATTATTTTTAAACGATTTAAATACATATAACTATATACTAATAAATATGTGTTTGTGAGTATGTGTAATTACATAAATAATAATTATGGTTTTGGTGATTTAGATCATCATCATTATGTGGTGACACTATGAATATAATATAGGTGCAGGTATGGCCAATAACATTTTTCATTAGGAAAATTTAAATTTTCATTTAGGATACAAAGCCAAAGAGTGACTTATACACAATACACTACCTCGAGAACGTACGTGGTAATTGTAGCTACTACAGTAACTATACCTGGCTAGTAAATAATATACTCACTCTCTTCAAAAAAATAAAAACTATATAACATAAAATACAACTAGAACTACACGGGTAATTATAACTATGGATATTAGATAATAAATATTATTGGTTAATTTTATGTGAAAATATTTGTCATTTAGTTCTGTTTTATTCAATCATTCTTTTTACTTTTTAGTAATTATTTTTAATGATTTAAGCATAAATTTAAAACGAAGCTGGGTTTCGCAGGTCTGGCAATTGCCAGAATGGTCATAACCGTAAACACGCCTATGCTTATGAATCAGGAACTACTGAAAATCGAGAAAATGTAGTCAGCTGTAGTGATTAAATGTCTAATTGTATTGAAACTGTAACAGAAATACCGTAACCACATCAGTACACTCGTGCGTAATATACGAGTATGTATGTACTGCAAGATGTCACCCCTTACGTTATTGTACACCACAAACACATTGTACTATTTAATATAACAATTATATGTTGACCTCGACGCGCACTATGTTTTATATGGACGATAAAATCTTCTATTGAGCTGCACTCGAGACGCAGTGGTACTTGCCACGAAAATATATATTTATACTTTGCCGCACGGGAGTCATCCGCGAACAGCAGTTGGGTTTGCCGCGTGCCCACGAAACAGACATTGCGAATTTTGATTAAATTAAAGTACTCGATCCCGCCCCGATAATTCACGTACATGTTATTATATTATGCTTGAGTTCGTATGGACGGGGATGTGCGGGCAACAGTGTTTTGGCAAACGATTGTTGTACGCACATAATGTAATAATAATAATAATAATAATATTATACATATATATATATATATATATTTTTTTTTTCGCTACAAACTTCTATACATAAAACCGCAAACTATTACCATTGCATCATCATTGTGCGCATATTATATTATTACTACTACGGCACATACTTCCTCGTCACGGGCGGAATAGAGGGCGTACGTATTGTCCCTATATTATATACATAAATAAATACGATTCGTATACGCGTTTACTGACACATATTGTCAGCTGCGGCTACGTGTATGGTGTGTATGGTATAATATTATTGACGGGGGGGCGCGCTCGCAGAGACGAGTGGCTTTTTGACTTTTTTTTTCTTTTTTAATATATATACACCGAGAATTCACGCGTGTTACGGGTATACGCGTGTGTGCATGAGTACGGCCCGTATTATCGTAGTAAACGTAAAAAGGACGTTACAAATACGCGGACAATGGGTCGGTGGCGTTTGCGGTGAAAATACAAGAACCGTATGGACATGTGGACTCGTCGTCATCGTCGTTTTTGTATTTATTTGCTTATTTTTTGGCGTTCGTGGCTATTATTGCGGCAGCTGATACGACGACGACGACGACGGCGACGTGGTTTGGCGGTGGCGCGCGCGCGCACGTGAGTCCATTTATATCCATGTATTATACACTTATATACATTTAAACGCTTTTACGTACCCACAATTGAATTATTCTTTTATGTGTTATTGTACGTTATCGATACAATATGTTTATGCGCGTACGAAATAACCTCCGTCTTTCGATATAATGTACATCGTAGCATATAGTGGTACGGATACAATCGAACTATCAAAGTCAAAGATGTGGAATAATTACGGGCTAAATCACTTTAATGCAGCGTCGGCGGTTCTCCGGGGGAGGGCGGTGATGACACATCCAAATGAATTATTAATACGTATCGTAAGCATAATAAATAAAAAATATCTCTGTAACTTGTAATTCCAGTCCTAACCGTTGTCAGTAGTGACGTGTATTTAGATTTTTTATGGAGCGAGGGGATAATACAGAAAACTAGGATTTTTGGCTTCAGCCAATTAAGTAATGTATCTAAACAGTGTATTATATTATTACACCACCCTAAAAGCTCAATACAAATTAAATTAAAATACTGGTAAAAATTATAGTCATCACCGTGTTCACTAATAATAATCTAACTGTATTGCATCGAGTGTTGCACGTTCGTTATTGCGATAAGTTTCAACGAATAATGTACATACACTCGTATTTAGCAGTTAATACTTTCTAGAAAACCTTCAAACCATACTACCTACTACTCATCATTTTAAAATGCAATTATTACATTTTTAGAACACCTAATTATATTATTTCTTTATATAAATACCAGTTGATAAAATTAATCAGTTATGTACATTCAATTGCACATCTTAGGAATTATGCATTAAAAATATTCTTATTGGATAGTATTTTTTTTAAATATACAACACTAAGTTATCCTAACTGTCCACGATTGAATCTGTATAACCATCGGTATTACCAATTTTATTGTTAAAATTATTTTGTTGAGTTATGAGCTATTTGATAATTTTTAAAAGGATAACACAAATATTTCCTTGAATGCAATCGGGTTATGGTTTTGCAAATAAAAAACTAATACAGACGCGTGGTATGGTAGATTTAAAAAATAATATTATCTGATAAGAATATTTTAAACGCATAATTTAAAAGATACACAAAAGAATTTATATAATTGATTAACTGTATCGATTGATTCGTATGTAAAAAAATAATAAAATTAGATAATTAGATAATTTAAATAATTAAATAAGTTTAAAAATATATTATTTTTATTCAAATGATGAGTAATGTCATGTTTGACAGATTTCTGGAAATTATTAAATGTAGGTACTTTTAATTTCATGTACAACATTCTTAATTGAAACTTGACATGTTGAATTAAAACTCAGACTCCATAAGAACCTATCTTTGTACATTTATAATGTATTTCATTGAACACACAGTGTGAACAAAAAATACGAAAGAAATATAGGATAATATTTGCCGAAAATGTGATGAATTAATTATTCTAAACAAAACAATGACGTTCTCTTGTAATTGAAAATCATATAGTAGCACTTTCATCTTACCCAGTTTACATTTTCTATATTTTAAGTTGTATGCACCCAGTGCTGTTGAATGTTTATATCTATTGACGTCATAAACGATAAAAATTAATTACAAATTTTTATAATGACGCTAGATGCCGGTATAATATCTTAAACCCCTCGATTGATATGACTTTACCACTTAAGAAAAATTCCAATGTACTTATGCTTCCTTAACTCTTTCATAACACTTCAATAAAAAATTTATAATATCAGCCATATATTTTAACAGGTTATGTAAACGAAAATAATCTAAATTGACTATATATGATAAATTAACTTACATTTATTTATTATAACTAGAAGGGTAAAATATTTAACTGTGTGCACTTTCCTACTTTGCGATACTTTTAATTAAATTAATTATAATTTATAACTTATTATTGAAGTATTAATAAAACATAATTGTTTTGTTTAATAACAAATAATTATCGGTTATAGTTAATAGTAATAGTAAAATATTATTTTCCAATCATGGAATAATTAATACAGTATTAATACCTAGAAGTAAAAGTAAATAACTGTTAAGGCATTTTGAAATCGATTAATAGTGGAATTAGTAATAATTATTACTAATATATTATTATTAATTATTACTAATAATTATATTATATTTAATTATTACTAATATATATTATTAATTAGTAATAATTATTAGTAAATAATAGTTTTATTTTTATAATCGACTTTTTCAGCTCTCGATTTAATAGGACTATTAGTTATTACTAAGCCCTGGATTTTTATGCAAATGAATAATTTTTATAATCAGCTTATGAATCATTTTTGTTTTTGCATATTTTACATAATTGAGTAAATATGACAATAAATTGCATATTTTTATATAATAAATAAAAAATATTTTAACTATGTCTACTCTTATTTAAAAAAAGGCGGATAGACACTACTGTACGTTATACAAACCTACTTACATACGACCTAATTGAATGCTGAATTCTGTTCTTAAATTGTAAGAAAAATACCAGCTTTTGTACTCGAAAATTAAAATATTTTTTTATAATTTATTTTTGATATATTCTGAAGCACTCCTATAAAAATACACAAACAGAAATAGGTATATCATCTTAAACATTAGTCATACGCAAGTAAATACTTCAGAAATGTACAATATCGTTTCATATGCATAAGTTCATTTGTATAAGAACAACTGAAAAATCTATTGTATACTCGTACATATTATAATTGTTTTTTTTACATTGACGATGGTTAATAGTTCATGTAACGGTAAAAAAATATACCAATGCTGCTTGTGCTTACCTTGACGAATTGAAGTTCATACATTTCACGAAAATGTAAACTTTTGTTCTCACATAAAGCTTCTTCTGCAGTTAAATGTCTTGACTTGTCTACAGCAGTTTTCTCCTGCAATCACAATTGAAATTATATTAAAAAAATTTATAATAATTAATCACTATACAGAGCCACCGCAGGGGTATAAATACTGTGGTATGGTGTTTGGGGAACATCATATCGGTTGGATTTACAAAATAAATCACATAGTATATTTACGCATAACTAGATATACGTATACAAATATACATGTTAATCTTAATCGCAATCTTTACAGCGTAAGTACAAGTAAGTAAATAGAAGTATATTTTATGCCACTATATTTGGCCATAAATTTTTACGATTTTCATTGAACAAGACCCTAAAATTTTGAGTATATATAAACGTGAGTGCGTACATCTACAACATATCTATAATTTATACAAATGCATTTACGTATATATATATTTTATATTTATTGCAAACAAGAAACACATCAAATGTGGACCACGTCATATTTTACTAACGAACGATTGACATCTTTAGATCTGTCGTTATTAGAAACCAAACATAGATCGACGTACTATTAATATTGACGAACCGTTTTTTGCACCTTTCACCGACTAAATTGGATTATCTTAACTTTCCATCGCTATGAATTCAGTAAAATCTATATTAAACGGGTATTATAAATATATTTATAATATTTCAATTTTTCCTTTTCTAACGTTATACCGTGTTGTCTCATTCCACGTAGGAATATCACGTATACAACTACAATATGAAAGCATATAATTAATGAAATAGCCAATAAAAAAAACAAATAATTGACTATATGTATAAATTAAATATTAGATACCGTTTATTTTTTATTAATTTAATTATTAAATATGAAAATTCGAAGTACATATGATATGGATACAAAATAAATATATAAAAACAGTTCTACATGAGCGTATTATAGATTTATTATCTCATTATGTTAAAACACAAACAAAAACCCCCATAAAACCGTATATATAAAAAAGTTTATGTTTATGCAAAAATATTCATTAAACATTGCAATTTAATTTAGTGATGTTTGGTTTCACAAAAACAAAATAAACTATTTTATATATTAAAAATAATGAGACGCAAAATCATTGACTGGATGCAAAAATACTCATATATACCAGGTATTATATTCACGTATACTGCGATTATATATACCACATAATATATATTTTATGGGTAGGATTATTTTGTTTTTATCACTGTTAAAATGTTGACCATTAAATGTTTTACTGCTACTACACAGCTACTACTGTTTTACTTTAAGTGTCATGCTTAATGTATTTTTATTTTCTCGTATATATTATATTATTTTTTTTTTTTTTTTGTAGATCTGGCCATCCGAGGTTCCTATTATTACTGAACGTTTTCGACACACTTATCAGACATATATCGTAATCACACACATATATTACGTACGGTTAACTGTAGAAACCATTTAAACGTGACCGACGATATTTACAGATTTCTGCGTTTTGTCCACATATTAATAATAATATTATGTTTCAACGTAGACGTATAAATATGAGTTTTAGAGTGAGTATCTACCTTATATTATAACATGTACCTATAATATTATGTGTATAAAGTTCTATTATATTTTATCGAGTTGAATACAGTAGGTAATGGTATAATATGTTCGGGATTAAATTCAATTATAAATAACACTGGACGACTAGAAAGGATGGACCGTACGATAGAGGAAGGGGAGACGTATACAAGAATATAGCTATACTAAAATACTTATATTTCGCGTAAACAGGAAATTCTAAAAAAAAGTGAGGTGGAAGAAAAAAAAATAATAAATAAAATAGTCGGCGAGATGTAATAGCACAAAAGCAAAGGATGTGGGCAATATTTCGTCGGGGACTTGTAGTGGACAACTGGTACCATATATTCCGAACGCAGCATGACTTATTAGCGTACTTTGAATATTTTTAAATATACAATTTTTATTACACTTTTTTCCCCCTGCCTTCTTCTTCTTCCGCGTATTAACTCCGACGTGTTACAGAGTATTAAAAGCCGCAAAGCAACGGCAGCCGAGAAAAGGTGACATCGATAAATAAAATCTACACCGGTTCGCCCAGTAAATAATATTAATAACGTCGCGGACGCTCGTGTGATACAATGGCATACAGAGTGTTCAAACGTATTTTGAATATTCGTTTCCGCTCACGCTGAATTCAAATTCCAAAATAATAATCCAATAATAATTAATATATACGCATTTTGCATGGCAATCCGTACTATTTACATAAATGTTTTGAGTGTAATTTACTTGAAAATGTTAGTGTTCAAAATATAATTATAACTTAAGAAAAATAAGATTGTTTCATTTATTTAATTATGATCAAATATTCTTTATTTATAAACACCTCAATACCTTTATGGGATTATTTTTTACACACACGAAATATAACATACGAAAAATATCTAACCTGTCCTAAACTTTTGATAATCATACGAGTTCTCCCATTTTTCTTACGATTATCGTACGTTTTTCTGAACCTATTTTTTGTTATACCGATATCGGTATCGATCTTATATATATTTACCGGAATCATATAAACACTAGACGATATTCAAGCGAATCAACAGAAATGTTTGAATTAAAAAACTTTAAGAAATAAACGTGTATCTTGAAAATTAGCGTTTCCCGCTTTACACCTATGGCGAATTGCACACAATCGAATATTGTCCACGATACAAATGATCACGTTTCGCGATTCGTGGTCGATTTTAAATCAAGAACAATAGACCAGCTTCTGCGACACCGTTCGTTTACGCAGAGCGCGACGAATTGAACAATCGAAGAAAAACGCTTTTCTCCACATCTCTACGTGGCCTAAGTAAAGGGAATCCGTAAAAACATATGATGCGCGTGCACGCGCACGGCACGAAGGCAACGAGACGACTGGACAACGATATTTGAACGTCCTGTATGCGCGATGTACGCGCGCGCGTACGTGGATCGGTGGTGTAGCTCGGAGCAGCTCGCGCTCACCACCACGAACACGTTCAAGACGTGTAGAACAGGAGTCGCACGGCGGTTACGATGTATATGCGTGCTCGGACACCGGTGCGGGTACTGTACGCGCGCGTGTAAACGTGTGTAATACACGCCGGCGGTACACAGGTGGTGTGTGTACGTTTTACGTGTCCACCGCGCGCGCGCACATCTCGCCGGAGAGCTGCTGTTTTCCAAACGCATACCCGCGGTATACGCGCACAATATTCGTACGCTCAGCCCGTCGGTGTGTACGGCGTGTATTTACGGGTGTTATGCGTGCGCACACGTTG